TTTTTCACCAGGTGCAAGAATTATGTTCTCCCTCTTCCAAAACTAATTAGAGAATTTTCAGATGAGTCAAAAATATGTTTGGTTTTCCGCAAAAATGCATAAAACTGCATCTAAAATAGTACAGTAGCAGCAGAGTTCTTCAGGGTAATCCTTAACTTTCTCCCTCTTTCCTGCATGGGGGGAGAATTTTTAAAAATCCCTTCTTAGTGTGCATTCTCATGCTATATCCTAACTGTGTACCAAATTTCAGCTTTCAACTCCTAATTGTTTGGGTTCTGTGTTTATCATCATCCGTTTTCACCAGGTGCAAGAATTAGGTATCCCCTCTTGGATAAGTTCAATTTCCCACAAAAACACAAAAATCTGCATCTAAAATAGTACAATAGTAGCCAAGTTCTTTAGGGTAAGCATTAATCCTATCCCTCTCCTCCAGGGGATTTTGAAAAATCCCTTCTTAGTGTACATTCTCATGACGTACCATAACTGAATACAAAATTTCAACTTTCAACTCTTAACTGTGAGCTCTGCACTTATTATTATTATGCTGGGTTTAGTGAGTTATACTCAATTGACACTGGTGGCTGTGTACTATGCCGGACCAGAGACAAGACAGTAATCAAAACAAGACAAAAATTAAATAAACGTGTCAGTGTGTGTCTCTGTATTCAGGAATTTCCTAACAATATGACATGTGTGGGATCTGTATATTTAGTGAGCGTTTCCTAAAATATAAGTGAGAGCATATTAACTAAATCTATGTCTATATTATCAGTGGTGGATGAGGAAGTGTCTATAGTTTCATTAGTGGAAGTTTTGTGTGTACTCAGGGCCGCCGTAAGCGGGCGTGCAAGGCGTGCACCGCACGCGGGCGGCACGTCCAGGGGGCGGCAAAGAGCCTTTCTAGCAAGCTCAGCATAGGTAATCGTAGTTAAACAGGGGGCGGCATAATCGGTATTGCACACGGGCGTTCAAACAGCTAGCAGCGCCCGTGTGTACTATAATCAATGCTTGTTGCTGAATTATCCTGACAGGTTACATGATCTTCATTAATGTTAAATGTTTGTCTGTTGATGTATTTAATCAGCAACCTGTTGTTTGATAAGTGCAAGTGTTGTTTATGGGATAAGGTTGTTGTGTATAATCATTCTTTTTTGATCAACAATCCTTTGTTCAGTGACAGTGAGGGTGAGGATATTATTGTGTGAATCTATGATGTAGTTGTTGTCTATATGCTGTCATGTTTGTTTAGAGTTTTGGTGTAGTAAGTACAGATGATACTCTCATTCATTTCTATTGTCCATTTCATCCGTTGGCATGGTTTTCCAGCCTTTGTGGTCTGTGGGTGCATTGCCACAGAAACATCAGGGCTAGGTTGGTTCCTTACTTCTGTCGAGGGCATTGTAGTAGCCATGCTTGAACCAACGCTGCTTTTCCCACCATTAACCAAGGGAGATTGTGGCCTATTTTTCAAACGCAAGCCTTTGCCTAACCCACAAACAAGGATCTTATTAACTCGGGAGATGTCTGAGTCAATATCACACTTAGATCTGGTTATCATCATGATAAATATCTCCACAGAATTTGGGTGTGGTCACTCAGCTTCATTTCTCCCCATAGACCTTACTGGCATGGGTGTCCCTACAAGGAGCTTGTGCTCCAGCTGGCATTTGCCCTATGGATCAGTAAAAAATGGTGACCATGGGAAAGTCATTATCATCATCAACCATCTCGATTATATTATAAGATAGGTATATTTCAGATTGCTGTTTTCACTAGTCCTGCCAGGAGATTTGAATAATAGTCTTCACTTATTATCTGTTATTCCATAAGGATATCCACATGCAAAACACTTCATATCCAAAAAAAGTGTAGCCACGATTTTGTCAACTGAAAAATTTGTCTTTGCTTTTTTTTGGCTTTAGGGACAGTGTGACATCAATGCATTGTTGCTTTTTTCATTTTAGGAGTATAAAGTAGTCAAGTCCTATCTGTAATAATAAACTTAAAGAATTCATCACCCTCTACTTTGTATTGTGCCAATAATGTTTGGGCATTCTGCAATCATGACTGTTTCTGAATATCAGTTAACATCCATGGGATTCAACAAGTCCATATCTTCCAACATTGATAAGTTGATCTTGGATGATAGCATGCACAATACTGACATGCAAATTTGAGATGACGTTTCTTACAGTAATCCAATGATTATCATGAATAAACCTGTCAATGTTATCAACAGTCTCTACTGTTGTTGAGGCATGGGAATGTAGTTCATTCTCAATGTGTTATCTTCCATCTTTAAAAGCCTTACTCCATTTTAATATTCATTTCTGACAAAATCCCTTCACCAAATTGTTTTCTAATTCTGTAACAAAATTCTAAAGGTTTTACTCATTCATTATACGAAAATAATAATGCATTGTTCCACACAAGGATGAGTTTCTTGCTCATGACTTAGTTTTACTGAAATTCAAATTTGTTTAAGTAACAAGTTCAAGTTATAAACAATGCTAAAGTATCACATGACAAGCAAAGCTTCTATGCATGAGTCATTATTTAGACATAAAATTTATATTTTAAATTATAAATTAAATTTGAATACTCCTCCTAAATACAGAATGACCCATAAAGTATTACAAGTTAATATCTCAAACTACATAAAGTAATACAAAAAAACTTGATTATGTCTCACAGGGCATCTTAAATCATGGTGAAATTAAACCTCTTTGCCCTTTGGAGTGAGATAGAATGGTCTTATGTTAAAATTTCAAAAGTAATCATAAAGCAAAAGTTACCTATTCATGTTTAACTTTAAAAATAAGGAACTTTTATCCAATACATTTTTATAAAATCATTCTACAAGTTGCTGAAAATTTTCATACCTTTGTTAAGGAACTCTTTCATTTATCCATAAATTTCAAAAATACTGAACATTTTGTTTTTAGTACCGATATCATCTATTTGAAATTTAAAAGTAATTCCACCTCACCACACCCTCTAGACAGGAAATTAATTTTATAATAAATTATATTATTATAATTCAAGAGATTCCTTTGAGACATGAAATACAGAAAAATTTTTAATAACTTCATAATATATTTTCAGAAATATTGGCTTTTAACACTATATGGGTCACCCTGTATATATGAACTTAGACATAAGATAATATACATCAAATTCCCATCCCTTTATTTTAATTAATCTCAATCAATTAATTAAGTCATGTAGATGGTGAATAAAAGGCAAGTATAAAAAAGCAAATAATAAAATGTTTTATATTTATACAGGTTGAACATAAATAAAGCATAGGTGTTCAGAACTCTCTGCAGAAAGAACTATTGGACAAAACTCAACCAAATTTGATATACAGTGAAATCTGTTAATCTAGATTATAAAACAATTCCTGTCCCAGAAGTTTGAAAGACAGATATAAAGAAGACACACAAAAATATCAAAGATGCCCAAGTACCATACATTCTTTCGAGTGTAACATTGCAGCTCGCAAGAATACTTGTTTTCTATGAATCGACATGTGATGTTCATTGTTATACAGTCTGCAACTGTGTTCAGAGTTTACTTAATATCTTGTTGAATCTTTTCTACTCCTTAAAATTTGCAATTATAAAACATTGATACTTTCCTGTTAAATAAAATGCTGCGCTTACAAACAATAAACGTATTAGCATGTTAACTGACATCAACATGTTAATAAAATTGTTTGTAACCACACAAATTTTCATTCAGTCAATATTCACAGCTTTTATTATTTTGTTGAGCTTCAGTCACCTTCAATCTTTTGTGAAGAAAGCAATATCATAAAAATGATATCTAAAAAAAAGTGATTATTACAATGGAGAAGAAATTAAAAATATGTAAACTGTGTTATTTATGTCATTAGTAAATTGTTCAATCATTTGGAATTTGGGTCATCCAGATTGGGCCCGGTACCATTCAAGGTGGAAAAACAGGCTTCCACCATATAGCACATACTGTCCCGAGTATGCCATTTCAATTTGAGAAAAAAAAAGTCCTTCAAAATTCAGCTGCTAGGACAAAATTCAATGTTGCTGTTCCTTCAACGTGCATATTATATTTTCTATGAATTTCTAGTGTTTGCATAACCAAAAAAAATAACATATATAACAAATTTAATAACCCAATTAATTAATGCAAGCAAACACTTCAAATCAATTTTAAAAAAAATATCATCTCATCAAGAATGTTTCATTTATATTTTCATACACAATTTTACAGTTACAATCTCTCTAGTTACGAAACATTTTATATTAAAAAAATCAAATTACGTTGTTTAAAAACACATACCGTAATTTATTTTTAACTTAAAATTTTAAATTATTGTTTACGTACGAATATACATAGATTAAGATAAAGAAAGTAAAAAAAAAATTTAATAAAATTACGTGTTTAATACATTAAGAACAGGGAAAAATTTCGCATAACTTCATTTAATTTTGAAGTCAATTTAAAAAATTTAAATAAATAAATAAAAAGTTTTGATCTTAATAGTTTCAAGTTTAACTCTTTCATGTCAGAATTTATTGAGACTATCTAATTTTTTAGTATTAAAAAATTATCTGTGAAGTAGATAACAATCTATTTTATCTAAAATTAATGTATTAAATGTAGTACATATTTTCGTTTACGCCTCTCGTTTAACATTTCACCACACTTTAAAGTATCAGAATGTTGGAAAAGTTTACTTAAACTCACTCTGTCAGTCTTTTTTGTTTTGCAATTCCTCCATACATCAACTTTTTAAAAGCAATGACGAAATTACCATTTCTCATACACGATTAACTTAATGTTGTGTTTCTAATATTTAAAAAGCTGTTTAAATTTAAAAGAATGAAGTATAAAAAAAAAAAAAAAAGAAATACTTCAGTGTTTATTTTGAAAGTTAAATTTTCATATCAACAAGTTTCAAAGGAGAATATTTAAATGATTTCATTTATATTTTATAAAATAATATTTATTCTTACCCTTGCATTAAAGACGTCGATTAAAAGATAAACTTTCAATAATTTACAAAACACTAAACAAGAACTTTGATAGAAGTTTTACTAGTAGACGAAACCACCTCCATTATCACTGGAAGAAGGGGGCGTTACCGTATGGTTCACATTATCCAAATTATTCTATAAGCCAAATAGTAGCCACGGTTAACGTAATAACAAAAAAAAAAGAATTATTCTAAAATATCGTTAGTTTATTGATCGATAAGTTTTTATACTTTTATTTTTAATTATAAGAAATAAAATTAAAATAATTTATTATTATTTTGAAGAACTAGAAATTGAGTTACTAATGTCGTCTGTCAGCGTTCTCCCCGCTTAGATAATATTTAAAAAAAAAAACAACGTTGAAAAACAAACCGGAAATTTGTTATTTTTCTGCAGCTTCTCCTCCGGGACAGTCGAGAGGGGAAGCTGAAGATTTACTCCGGCACGAAAAAAATACAGTGGTTCCTATCCTATAAAATTAATGTTATATTTACTAACAGAAAATACCCTATTTATTCGCATATAAGACGAGGTTTTTATTCATTTTTCACCGTTTAAAAACCCTAGGTCGTCCTATACGCGCGAAAGAAGGATTCTTTGCGTTTTTGGAAATAATTTTTATGAACCGTGTATTTGCATTTTTTACCGGATGCTCACTCTCTTATGTTTAAAAACAAAAGTATTTTATCTGGGACGTTTCAATCTCTCTTGTGTATTGTTAGGAGTAAAAATGAAAAGCAATAGGAATACCAAAGCTTTTGAATTGGATTTCAAATTAAAATTCCAAAATCACATAGGAGCCCGATATAAGTTTTAATCCATTCCCACGTGAAAACATGATTATTCGGAAATCAGAATTCGGAGATACTCATAAGTGTAATCGACGAAGAATTAATTCTACTGTTAAGAATTGGCAAAAGAGGTTCCCAATAATTGTCCAGCTTTACGTGAACAAATTATGTTGTCGATTTTAAAAGATTTTTCCTTAAAGTTTAAAATTCCAGTAATTTTTGCGGAACAATGTGTGCATTTACGTTTATTTAATATTTTATTTGTGATTAAACGAAATAAAATTAGAGTTGTATTAATTAATCTAATTTTCTTTATTTTGATCTTTAAAGTCGCACCTCGTCCTATATGCGAAATTGTCTTTTATACGAGTAAATACGGTAAAATCTTTAAGAATAGTTTTATTAATAATGAAACATTTTACGTATTTCATTTGTGCAAAAAACAATGGTTAAAGTGGCGCATCAAAAGATAAAAGGGTGTCGCTTTATTCTTAGGTCCCATGCAAGCTCCCGACGGTCCCGACTACATTGGTTCCGAAGCAATCAGTTTTGTTACTTTAAAATAAAAATAAATATAATAATGCATTCCGCATGACTTCAATTACGTGAGATTAGGTAACTAAAGTAATTCTAAGGCAATTAAGTAACGTTCTCCGTAAAATGACTGAGAGTACGTGGTTTGGTTCAGTGAATCTGTCTTGAAAACCATCCGTATTCTTAATTAAAATCTTAGATACGCCACTAAGAAGCATAAAGGATAATTCACACTCAATTCTTGCACATGATGAAAACGAGTAAGATCGGCTATAATCTAATAATCTTAACGGCTGGGAAACGAATCCATATCCTGGAGCGCGTCGGTTTGTCGATGCACCATATAGTTGCCACGAGTGTTGAGCACGACGCGAGTACCATCCAGCGATGTGTGACAGGCTGGACGCAGGAAAATCTGCGAACACGCAGAAGAGGGAGTGGATCGCACCGACCATGACAGAGCGCAGAGACCGACAGATTTCTCTGTGGACTGGTGCATTTGTGTCACCCAAACCATTCGCGACAGGTTGCATGAAGTCAAGCTGCACGCACGGCAACCAGCAACGGGGTGCCATTAATTGCTCGACACAGGGCTGTACGCCTGGCTTGGTGTCATTGTCATCGAAACTGGACCACTGAATGGCATCGGGTATTGTTTACGGATGAAACCTGCTTCTATCTGTGAAGTAATGACGGTGTTCCACAAGACAATGTCCGAACGCAAATCGCACGGCGAACTCTCACCAGTCTGAACGGAACTCACATCCTTCCCTGATTAACAGCCTTACCTTACCTGATCGCTCTCCCATCAAACACCTGCACGACGTGAGGTGCACTGGAGATTACCACTACATACCATAGAAACACGCACCCGTAGTGGACCTTGCTTGGCAGGGATAGTATGTCTCGCTATACGGCGAGGCATACTATCAATGAAGTGACTATTAATCGCCTCATTGATAGTATACCTCCCGTATAGCGGTCTGCCCGTGGGGACTGAATAAACAGGTCTCTGTTGTATACCTTCGTTTGTTCTTTTAATCATTTGCACATCTCTATCACTGCTACTACTGTAATCCTGCAATTTGCATGTAGCGCGTAGCCACATGCATATTCCTTCGTGGTGTTGCAATTTCAAATTTGAGGAGTGTATTTGATTTTGACAGCCGAGGTAGACAAATCAAGAATACTATAGAGCAAAAGAAATACTGTAACGCATCTCGAAAACTAACTAGAAATCTTCCAGGTTACGGTGAAAAAAACACATAACATCCCTCTTCTCCTAAATGCTTTAAATTTTCAACTCAATTCAAAGGCATTTTTGTTGTAAGCAGTTTCCAACAAACTTTAATAAACTTTTTCTATTTGTAAAAATTTCTACGTAATTCAAAAGTAATTTTTTATATATATTTTACACAACATTATTAATATTATTATTTTGGGGTTGCAAGACGTATTAAGTTATTTAAAAATGAAAAATAATTATATCATTCGATTTTAAGATTTATTTTATATCTTAAATATATATATCCTGAGATTTCTCGGAATCTCGGGAAAGCAAAAGACCGGGAAATGAGAAACCCTAGAATGCAGGATGCTGGAGTGTTTCTCACTTGAATTTCACAAGGGATTCCTGCACGATGTACGCGGTGTGAGGACGGGTGTTGTCATGAAAGACGACGACACCTTGCGAAAACAGACCAGGCCGCTTGGACTTGATAGAAGCTCACAGTTATTTTAAAGTTTTCACGTACCGAGCAGCATTTATGGTGGTTTCACAGGCGGTAAACTCCATCAGATCAATTGTTGACGCATCCATACTTGAAAGTTGGACGGAGTATCTGCCTGACGTGCTAAACGAACGCAACTTGTTTGTAAGTTCACGTAACCGCAGAGTCACATGACGCTGCAGCGTGAGCTTACAGTGTTTCCATCTACATTTCAAATGGAGAATGATTCGCTGAACACATTTCGCGCTGTGATATATCCCTTGGTCGGGTTTCATTTGAATGACCCTCATACTTAATTAACCACGCGGCTGTTCAGTAGTAGTTAGTATTGAAAAGTTCTTGGATAGGATCCGAACTGCGATTCTCTATGGGTTGTTTCATCGAAATATTCTTCCATTGCTCATCCACCGGACTTGTCTATAAACGGTAATAATTGAGTTTTTTTTTTTAAACTCTTCTTGCCCTGTGGGCACTTAGAAGGCTTGCTAAAAAAGTTTTAGCAAGCCTTCTAAATGGGTTCGGCCAGGGCCAATGGGTTCATTACGGGTTCGGCTAAATGGGCTAAATAGGTTCATTATGGGTTCGGCCAGGCCCACAATGAGGTAGCCGGATGATGAGAAACGTGGGTCGACATATTCGGTCGGACACCACTCGAAAAATTCCTGGGATTATTCGACCTGTCCAGATGCAATTCCGGGTCTCCCAGAGCGGTAGGTTGCAACCTTGACCGCTCGGCCATCTGGTCCTAAAATAATAATTGAGAGTGATCTTACAGTCCACAGCGTATTAATATTTCACGAAAAATCCAATGTAATAAGTAAATGTGTAGTGTATATATTTTTAGATCTATATTTATATGTGTACTTATGATTTTTTCAATTTAGATATTTCTCTTTTGGTAGAGTCACTATTATTAAGATTAATTAACAACTTATAGATCATATATAATACGAATAAAGAAAGAATTAGAATAAAATTATTAAGATTATTACATAAAAATAATTTATTTTCGATAAAACAAACTATTAAAAAATTAATTTTAACTAATTTTATTTCTTAAAGCATCTTTATTTTTTGAAAAGTTAAAGAAATACAAAAGTATATACGTTAATATCGAATTCAGCACTAGAATAGCTTCCATATATAGATATTGTTGTGGTTAAAAATATCAGCGTGGATTAATTAAAAAAGATCGGATTGGTCGACGAAGGTAACTCGTCATTTTCCGCTATTGTTTACTTACAGAGAAAATGTTCAAATTTATGAACTCGACAAGACCATACGATATAATTATTTGTTTATTTTTAAAAATATTAAAAAATTGTTAGATATATTTTCTATCGTTAAAATAAACAATAATCAATAATCAAAAATTATTTATAATAATTAAAATTTTTATGATTAGAACAAAAAGTATACTAGAGGTCAGTGCAGGTGTTTATTTCTCGTCTAATTCGTATTGTTGTCTGATAGAAGACGTCATTAGCGCGGGTATAATATCGATATAAAGTTTATATCCTTCGAAAAATACTTATTCGAGCTTTGAAAAATTTACACGATTTATTTCGATCGATATTAGACGAATCTAAAACAGGAACGTAAGTAATAATAACATTGATAATCGTAACAACTGTTTTCCATTCGTGATTACGTGGACTGTTTTCAATTTATTTCCGGGTTATGTTGAAAAAGCAATGAAAATTCTTCGTTATTATTACTATTAAACGTCTTTTTAATGTATATAATTTAACTTATTATATAATATTTCTATTCCTAGCATCAATTTTACTATCAGAATTAACAATTATTAAATAAATTTCATTGATCTGACCTATATGAAGAGTATTCAAGTATAATAATTTATTACAACGAATAAGTAAAAAAAAAAAAAGTTTGGCAGTGATATAAATTACTTAAAACATTATTTGTTTTTATTAAAAAATACATTAATATATGGTAGATATTCGATCTTTACATTTATCTAGGTAAACAGTCTTTGATTATTAATGTATTTTGAGAATTTAGTAAAATGTATGTTCTGTAAATAAATGGCATTTTATATTTATTAATTTTCACAATATTGTTCATCCTTATATAAATAAAGCACGTGAAAACATTTTAAAAAATACATCTTAAAAAATTCAACAGTTTTCTTTATTTTATTCCTTATAAAATGTAATTAACATTAATACTACATAATAATGTCATACTGAAATTGGAATATCGATAAAGTTTTGTATTGTGTAATTATCACCGTTTATTTCCTTAAGTTTCTGTATCGCTCGTTATTAAACGTTACCGCAATTTTTAAAAATCTTTTAGGTACTTGTGCGTTAAAATGCTGCGTATGTCAGTTTGATTTCTCTAAAATAACATAGAGCTTAGTATATAAGGAGTAAATTTTATAAAATATAATAATATGAAGGAAATAACAAAATTATCTGAAAATAATTTTCGAGCTTATTATTAAAGGTGTTTTGTTATTGCTTATTATTAGAATTGAAATATTCGCATATCTGTACATATTTAAATACATTAACTGTGCTTATGTTATTTTAAAATCGTTCTACTTAGAATTTATTTATTTAAATACCTCAGTAATTGATATTTATCATACATTGAAGTACATCAGTTTTATTTTAAAAGATCTTTATTTAATGATTACGTGACAATATTGATATTTTTAAAATAAGTATATGNATTTGATTCGAGATTTTTTTAAAGATTGAGATAATCTGAGATTATATGTAAATGATTCAATAATTTTGAATATATTTTATAATTATGTTCATTTTCGAATTACATGAAAATGTAATTTTGGTATTTTTATCATCAAACATATATTTATTTTTATAGTTTTGAACATATTTGAAAATTAATAATAATAAATTAACTCGTACTTTTAGTACTTTTAAATACTAAAAGTAGTAAGTAATAGTGCTAATAAGTACTAATACTAATAAATTGGCTCAGAATATCTATTTTATCCATAAAGATAATTTTGAAAGAATATTGTTCTTAACATGCTAACTAAATAAGGAAACAAATGTGACAGATGAAAATAATCTGATAACAAAGATGGACATTTTACTGTGAACAGAAGAGCATTGGTGAAAAGGTATTGTATAATCCTACTGACCAAAGACCATATAGATATAAGAGAAATGCTGAAAAAAGCCCAGGAAATGATAATGTACAGTACTGTACAGTACATAACAAAACAATAGCATGCATTTGAATGCATGCTATTGTTTCATTATGTATGCAAATAAGGTAACTAATGAATTCCTTTGTAATATATCAATTTCTTGAAAATAATTTTAAAAATTATAAAAGATTTTAATTTTTTTTGTTTTTTATGTCAACACTACTGTTTATTATTTTGTTTGTTTATTTATTGAATGAATAATAAATTATTTTTTTACCATATGTTACTGACTAATGATCATAAATTATTAACAATATAAAACCATTGTTACACTGTTGATCAGATGTATATTTATTGATTCAAACTGATAAATGAATCAACCTGTTTTACAGTAAAACCGGCACAAGCTGGAACCCAAATAAAGCAGAAGCCTTCCAGAGGTGCAAAGTTCAAATATTCTTTATTTTTTATTATGAAACAGATCATAGGTGATGCCCAAAGATCAAAAAAGCCACCTCTGCAACAACACAAGGAAACCCAAATAAAAAACAGTAACAAGATAAAAATTATAAAAAATAAACAATAAACTAAAATATCAATATATACATGGCTTTTTACACATTTATGTTTTGCTAGGTATAGTAAGTTTTGCTTTAAAAATCAATTCTTTAAATATTTTTTTCAAAAAATTGATGAGACTTCATAGGTTAATCTGAAGAAGTTAACTGATGTTTTTTTGCCTGTACCACATTTCATCAGAGAGAAAAACTCCTGAGTGTTATCTTCATTATTCTTTATTCACTACGCATTTCGGGTGCAAGATTTTTGTGTAACTTGCACCCGCTTGAATTTTTTGAAAAAATTGATTTTTAAAGCAATATAAAGAAAACTGCACCATTGATATAATACATATCTATTACTTATAGAATAGTAAGTTTTCTTTGTAATGGACTTAGACAATCTAGAAAAAGTCCTTTGGGATATATTGAGCTGATACTAGGATGAATAAAAGCATGAAAAATTGCAAGTATTAATGTTAAAAGTATACAGACTAATAAAATTAGGAGGGATAAGACCATTCAAAAGTTTATAAATTAAAATTCTGTCAAAATAAATGGTCTGGTTATGTATACTAGAGAGATATAAGTGAGTGTACACAATCTCAGGAAAATGGATAAATGGCAGGTTTGTGAGCCTATTTAAAAGAGTATAGATCTTGGATATCTCAGAAATTTACTTTTATTAATGAGAGAGTTTTGATGCTGAGTATCAAATTAATAATAATTGATAACTGACTGAAAATTAGTGATGAAAAGATGAAAGAAAGTTTAGAAGAGATGGTTGACAGTTTCTCCACAATATTCTTTGCACACAGCCAATCCGTTAATAATTTTATCTATATGTAGAGTTCCTACACACCTGAAAGTCATGGAAAATTAGGGATTTTCATTAGTGTTGAGAAAAAGTCATGGAATGTCAGGGAATTTGTTAAAAATTGTCGAAAAGTCAGGGAATTTGCTTCTTTGGCTGCATTGTTGACTTTTTCCTGATAATATTCTTGACTAAGTGTAGCCATCTATAGACAGCAAGAAGTAATGTGGTGCAATACAACTTATGAAAAAGGGTGCAGAATATGTTCAAGACTCAAAATTTCTCCTCCCAAGTTTTCCAAACATACAGTTACACAAAATTTACAAAGTACACAAAATGATAAATAATTTAAATGATATTATTTATCATTTTTTATTTTAATAATTTTGATTGCATAACAAAACAATTTTTGATTTTTTTTTCAGTTTATTAATATTTTATAAAGTTCAAGAAATTTATTAAGAGATAAATTTAATCTAAATATATAAAATTACTTGTCCTGACTGACTGAGTGATTGACTGATTGATTCATCATCGCCCAAAGCAAACCGCTGAATCTAAAGAGGTGAAATTTTGTACACAGGGTACATCATGAAAATGCACACTAAGAAGGGATTTTTCAAAATCCCCCCGTGGGGTTGGGAGGGAAAGGATTAAGGCTTAACCTGAAGAACGGCTTCTACTGTACTATTTTAGATGCTATTTTTTGTTTTCAACTGCATTTAATTTTCATTGAGTACTTAGGTGTATTAAATTGATAACATTTAAAACATTGTTATAAATATTTTTATTTATTTCGATTTTTTAACCAAATGTTCGAACCATTTTAAATTCAAATTTGTTATTGCATATTGGTTTGATTATAGAATGATTGTAAACGTTCCAGAAAATTGATCAAATTGAAAATAGTTTGTTTGGTTCTCAGCAATTCTCATCATTCTCAGCAGTAGGTGTTATATAACAATTACTATGGTTGTTGAAATACTGAATATAAATGGGGTTTGCTTGCAAAATCCGCATGGGCAAGGTCGTGGGTAACAGCTAGTAAATATATATTTTTGTACATGGATTATATAGAATTTGTTAATGAATAATAAGAAATAATTGTTGTTTTTCTTTTTTTCAAAGCATTGTAGATTTATGGTTGTGGATTAATAACAGAATTTTGATTTTAATAATTTGGCAATTATAAAAAATATATATAATTGTTAATTAGAAAAAATAACTAATTATAATGTTGGAGAAGCAAAACATATGTCTGTAGGAAGTCAAATGCTGTTTTATTTTGTCAATTTGCCATACTCTAAGGGACATGAGGGATGGGATTTGTACAAAGTTGGTTGGGAAAGTCAGAAAGTCATGGAAATTAAAACAAAAATTTGAATAGGAATCCTGTATATGATACTTGAATGTTAATTTGTTGTCAAAGATGACACAAGAACTTGAATGGACAACCAGATTGTGATTATTAATTATGAAAACAAAATTGGAGTTGGTTCTAATTATGGCAAAATATGTGTGTTGGAAATTTAATAGTGGCAACAATGCTATAGAAACCCAATGCAATGCAACCAGCTAATGTTGTCTAGATCAGATTTTGGTTATATACTTACCTTAGCTCAAAGCAAATGAACTTTACCATCCAACTCCATGCATTTGTGCAGTGACAAAAAGAGCAAGGCATGTTGCTATCACCTGGTTTAGTCATGATGATCTCAAAATTGAAGCATCAAAGTTGGATAAATATTGATGGTGCCAGAGGTCATACTGCATGACAGTGTTGCCAAGGATTCTTAGAGGCTTGTGGGAAATCTGCATTAACATACAGAACAATAGCAAGATGGATAAAAGCTGTCAGTAAGGGATGTGAAAATGAGAAACATAAGATTCATCCAGGTTGTCCCCATGCAAGTGAAGAACAAGTGAGTACCATACTCTCAAACCAGACTGTAAATGTGCAATATTACTCTACATTTTTGGAACACAATCTGTAGCCAGGCTTGAGAGAAAAGCGGAAACACTTTGTGAATCCATCCATCATCATGAATGATAATGATCAAGTGCATGTTGTGCAATGTA